ATAAAAAGTAAATTAAAATAAAAAAAAATCTCGAGTTTTAATCATGTGATTATCAAAAGTATTTTAAAATGCATGAATCTGTATCTCTCTTATCATTTTCAATTGTGGTAATTATGGTAAAAAAAATTTGTAAAATTCAACGAGAAATTGTAAAAATATTTCGAATTTGCATTTAATAATTATTAAAGGCAGAGAGATTTTTTAATCTCAGATTCAATAATTATTAATATGAAATAAATTTATTATTATTCAATCTTAAAAATGTCTACTTCAAATTTGGTTTATATTTACCCTAATTAACCTCAGGAACAGTAAATAGTTGCGGTAGAATTAGTTTACTGCTGCCGGTGATGAGCGGAATGATGGCTATAAATAGGCGCAGTGGGTGTGGCTGATGCGAAAGAATATCACAATTTCTTGTAATTCTTTTCCAAATTCTGCGTCTCCCAGAAAAAGAAAACGCCTCAAGAAGAATCGAATCCCACAGCACAAACTTCATTACTTCACTCCTTTTCTCTCTCATCCTAGAGAGAGAAAGAAAGAAAAAACGCCAAAAACTTAAACCCTTCTGTTTGTTACGATATAAATCATTCCTCTGCTTCCATACACAGTGCTAAAAAGCCCCTTTTTCTGAAGAAAAGCCTATTCGAAACTTGAAGAAACTACTGCTTCCCCTGTCAACTCTGTTTTTTTTTTATTTTTTTTTTACCCTTTTTAGATTCTCTGGCAGTCGCCGTCGCCGGCCGCCGTCTTTGGGTTGACCACCGCTGTAATGGTGGCGCATTAATTTCTGAGACTACCCTAGCTAACCCTTTTCGATTTCAGCTCGTTTATGGCGATTTGACCCCACAAAAGAAGAATAAAGTTCTTAAGGCTTTCCTCTGTTTTGAGATTTCTTGCTCTGTTTTGGACTGAACGATAAACAGATCTGTTTCTTTCTTTTTTGGGTGTTGAAGACAGTGACGTTTCGAGTAAGGTTTGTTGTTTGAAGGGAAAATTGGGGTTTTTTTTTTGTTTTGTTTTATAAATCTTTTTGTTTTCCGTTTTTGGATGATTTTGATTTGGGTTACTCTGATTTGGATCTGGGAACTTTGTCTTATATTAATGTCTTGTTTTGCGTTAATTTCCAACAGATCTGCAAAGATTTAGACGTTTAAAAAATGTTGGGACAAACACAAGCAGAGGAAGCTATTGTTCCGACCACCGCGAACGAGGTGGAGCAAAGCAGCGGAAAGGAGAAAGGGGAAGAACTTGATGGCGGAGAACAACCGCAAAACTCTGTTTTCCAAATGAAAAACCTCCTCTGGCACGGCGGCTCCGCTTGGGACGCTTGGTTTAGCTGTGCTTCAAATCAAGTAAAATTCTCCCTTACCTCACCGGAATACAGCTCTGAGTTATGCCGGAAAACCACTAAATCTCTCTCACTCGCCGGATTTTGTCAAAATTTTACAGGTGGCTCAGGTGCTTTTGACACTTCCCTACTCATTTTCACAGCTCGGAATGCTCTCCGGCATCATTTTTCAGATTTTTTATGGGCTGATCGGAAGTTGGACGGCGTATTTGATCAGTGTGCTGTATATTGAATACCGTAGCAGAAAGGAGAAGGAAAACGTCAGCTTCAAAAACCATGTCATCCAGGTTCCGCCATTAAAGCTTTCTCAGAAGCTTCGAATTTCATAACCCATTACAATTTGACTTGAAATGATGAAACGACGGCGTTTTCTTTACTCTGCAGTGGTTCGAAGTTCTTGATGGGCTCTTGGGACCCCACTGGAAGGCTTTGGGGCTTGCTTTCAACTGTACTTTCCTTCTATTTGGATCTGTCATCCAGCTTATTGGATGCGCAAGGTAACGATATCAAAAGCAAAATTATTAAATTAAGTATTTTATTTGTGTTTATATATAATTAATTAATTAAAAAATGGAAATTGAGCTGAAATAATTTTAAAATGTTTTTGTTGAGGACAGTAATATTTATTACATTAATGACCACTTGGACAAAAGAACATGGACATACATTTTCGGAGCATGTTGCGCCACCACTGTTTTCATACCGTCTTTTCACAATTACCGGATTTGGTCGTTTCTCGGCCTCGGAATGACCACTTACACCGCCTGGTATATGGCTGTCGCCGCCCTCGTTCACGGCCAGGTATTTCTCTCTGTTTCTTTCTCTCCGCCGCTCTCTCCGCCTTGTCTCTCTCTGAACTCTTGCCTGCTTGTTTGTTTAGGTTGAAGGCGTCACCCATTCGGGGCCGACAAAACTGGTGCTTTACTTCACTGGCGCCACCAATATTCTGTACACCTTCGGCGGCCACGCTGTCACCGTGTAAGCCTCTTTAAAATATATATATAATAATATTATTATTTTTGTTTTTTTATTAATTATTTTAATTTTAATTATTATGATAATTATGAAAAGATTAAGGAAAATGATGACAGGGAAATAATGCATGCCATGTGGAAACCCCAGAAGTTTAAGTACATTTACCTGATGGCCACGCTGTACGTTTTCACTTTAACGCTTCCGTCTGCTTCCGCCGTCTACTGGGCTTTTGGCGACGAGCTTCTTAACCATTCCAACGCCTTCTCTCTACTCCCCAAGAATCGCTTCCGTGACGCTGCCGTTATCTTAATGCTCATTCACCAGGTCCGTTCCATTTCCCTGTTTTCTTATGCTTTGACTTTGACTTTTTTTTATTTATTTTCCTCTTTAATTTGTTGTCTTTTAACATTAAACCACAATTTTGGCATTTAAAATTTTAGGGTTTTATATATTTACCCATAATTTTTTATTAATCGAGAATTATGGGACATCGTGGCATACTCAAAAGCCCTAAGAAAGAGGGTTAGATAGAACCTTAGGTATTTTGAAGACACGTTTGTGAGATTCCACGTTCATTGGAGAGGAGAACAAAACATTTTTTTTATAAGGGTGTGAAAATCTCTTTTTAGTAAATACATTTTACAAAATTCAAAGGAATCTCAAAAGGGAAAACTTAAAGAGGACATTATCGGCTAACCACCTTGAGGTGAGTTTGAGCTGTTACAAATAGTATTAAAGCCAAACAGTAGGTGATATGTCGACGAAGAGGTTGAACCCTGAAGGTGATGGACATGAGGCGGTGTGTCAGCAAAGACATTGGGCCCCGAATGGGATGGATTGTGGGATCTCATATTGATTGGAGAAGGGAACAGTGTCAACGCAGACACTAAATTCTGAAGGGGTGGATTGTGAAATCCTACATTGAATAGGGAGGAGAACGAAGATGTGAAAACCTTTCCTAACACGTTTCTTCCTGAAAGGATAAATTCAAAGTATAATATTTATTAGCAGTGTGTTAAAATAGTGTCGCACCCTTTCAAATCCTAATATTTTTATGGAACATGCAGTTCATAACATTTGGGTTTGCATGTACGCCGTTGTACTTCGTGTGGGAGAAAGTGATAGGAATGCACGACACAAAAAGCCTGTGCCTAAGGGCGTTGGTGAGGCTGCCGGTGGTTATCCCAATATGGTTCTTGGCTATTATTTTCCCTTTCTTCGGACCCATCAACTCCGCCGTCGGCGCTCTTTTGGTTAGCTTCACCGTCTACATCATCCCCGCCGTCGCCCATATGCTTACTTACAGAAAAGCCTCCGCCAGACAGGTTTAGTTTAAAATTCAAACTAAAAAAAAAAAAAAAAAAATCATTATATTATTTAATTTATTAATTGTAAATGATCCGATTCCGGCAGAATGCGGCGGAGAAGCCGCCGTTCTTCCTCCCAAGCTGGACGGCGATGTACGTATTGAACAGCTTCATAGTGGTGTGGATCTTCGTAGTCGGGTTCGGGTTCGGCGGGTGGGCCAGCATCACCAACTTCGTACGACAGATCGACTCGTTCGGCCTGTTTGCCAAATGCTATCAGTGCAAGCCGCCCTCCCAGGCCCCTCCGCCGACACATCGTCACTGAGTCAACTCGCTTCACAACTCGACTTTTACTTTGTAACATAACGTCATAATTTTCCTCTTAAAAAAGGCTTGAATTTTCATGTGTGTCTCGGATTTTTGTTCAATTTCATTTAATTTTATCTATTAGTTCTTAGTATAGTTCATTTTAGTCTCTAATTTCCTAAATTATGTGTTTTTTTTTTAATTTTATAATATAAGTTAATGTGCTATGTCTATGTTCTTATTAATATATGAATATTTTCCTTGTTTTCTCTATGTATAAGTGAGGTTGCGAGGACAAAATTGTAATTTCGTTTAAATAAAGATGTGTTCTCAAAATGTTGAATTAAAAAAATATCCTTCAATCATTACTCTTTATTTAAAAAATATCCCTATTTTTTTTAAAAAAATAAAGTTAAATATCAAAAAATACGTTTAATGTTTTAAAATGGTGTCAAATATTCTTTTTGAAAGTATTCGAAAAATATTCTTTTTAAATTTTTGTTAATACCCTTAAAAAAAATATAAAAACTTCAATAAAAATTAAAAAACACATTTAAACTTTTTAAAAAATATAAAAAAATACTTAATAGTTTCACATTTTAAAAATATTTAAATTTTTACAAATAATATTAAAAAATTCGGAGATAATTTATTATTATCGATATATTTTTATTTTTTATAAAGGTAAATTCGTTATTTTTATTTTATTTTATTTTATTTTTTGTTTAAAGGGATTATTGAAACATTTTTAGATTTTTTTAAAGTTTTAGGTTCAACTATATTTATTTTATTAATTAAATGTTTGAGAGTGGTTGCATGAACAAAGAAGGAATTATGATTTTTTTTATATTATAATATATCATTATTAAAAAAAGATTAAATAAAGAAAGAACAATCCTCGAGTATGGGCTTTTAAATTGTGCCCACAAGCATAATGGGCCACATAGTGGGCCCAAGCCTTGAAATTTAAACAAGCCCAATTCATAGCTATTAATTTCTCTTCTATAACGACATGTCGTTGATAAAGAGCGCCAATCTTATATAGTGAAACTTGCCTTCGTGGTTCTTTCACAGGCGCTTGCTCGCTCTGCTTCATCTTCATCCGTCCATGGCTTCTCTTTCTTTCAGACTGCTTCCTCGTTCTTTCTCTATCTCCAAATATGAAACCCTAGGAACGTCTCTGCGTGCTTCTTCTACTGGTCCTCTCGCAATCTCTACAACTTCGTGTCCTTCTTCAATTCCTGCTGGTATGTAGTTGTTAGCTTGATTCAAGTGTTTTCGTTTCTTCTGTTCACTTTCGATCGCTTAATTTCCGTTCTGTGTGTTTCTTTTTCGGTGTATTGTGGCAGAGGCGATAGGAAAACGGAGAAAGGAAAGCGGTTCAAGCACTCTTTCGGAAATGTATGTGCTCATCTACTCTCTTCGTTTTCTTCTATTCTTTTTCTGACTGTGAGTTTCTCTTTTGTCTTCGATTTGTTCTCTTTCGTTTTTTGTTTTGATTTCTTTTCCGGGGGGGTGGAATGATGAGGCAAGGCCTCGGGACAAGACGAAAGGGAGAGGGACGCCGAGAGTACCAACTCCTCCTTCTCCGCCTAGGAAGGTTAAATTTGATGGCGATGAGAAAATCAAGATCGAGATTGATGAGTCTCTTTTCTCTAGATAATCTTGGAGCATTCTAATTCTGTTTATTTGAATGTGTTTTTAAATTCAGAAGGTACTTCCACTTCTTATATTCGCATTATTCTTATATAAAATTTTCAGCCACTCATTAGCTTCTTGAATCTGTTGTTCGTTTTCAGTCTACTCGAAGGATGGTCCCTCTCTCTCTCTCTCGCCTCCTCTTGCTTTTAACCATTTCCGAGGAAGACTCTGAGTTTTGCTGCTTCATAGATAATCTTTGCGTCACTATCAGGCGTTTGTTTCAAAGGGAATATAAGTAATCTTCCTCACTTCGTCTTATCGAAAGCTAGAGTTGAGCTATTTGAGATTAACGTTAGATTCAAAAAGAGTCTACTAGCTCCTTTTGGTTTTACAAGTTTCTTTTCAATTGTCTTAGTTTGGTTTTACAAACAAGCACAATTGCTTGTTCATCTGCAATGATATGAGCGGAGTTTGGGACGATTTATCCATTACTCTCTCTGTAATAGACTAACAGAGATTACCTAGTTTATTGCACATCGTACTTTTAAAAATATAAACGAAGAGTAATTACGACCTTGGATAGACTGTTTCCTATGACAAACAAACGGTGAAGTAATCTTTGCCGGCTTTTGCAAATGATATATTTCTTAATTTGATTTCAGCCGTCTATGTTGCTTTTTATATGTGTTTTGGAGGTTCTAATGTCTCTCTATAGATAGAAAATGTCTTTCCTGATTCATCAGTATCAGCCAAAGCCTTTTCGATAGCTATGTCAGTATCAGAGATAACTGAGGAGGAAGAAGAGGTATCTAAGTTTATTGATCCTGAAGTCCAAAGGGAAAGAATCCGACAGATACTCAAGTACCAGAAATCTGTGTATTCTTCATCTTCATCTTCCTCTTCTTCTATCTCAACCTCGGCATCATCTTCCAGAAGCTGTAGTTTACTAGACTTGATGAAAGCAGGAAACGCTTCTCTCAGGAGATTATTTGACATGCAGCATACTAGTTTGGCCACCTATTTTGATAAGTACAGTGGATCACCCACGATAAAGCCTATACCATTATGGGGCAGTGATTCTGATGTAGAAATCTGTGATGCTTGGGCATCCATCAAGATCGGACCCTCACATGATTCTAGGTCTCTCGGAACTAATTGCACATCAAATGGTGTTTTCATGGACAGAAACACAGGGCTTCGGAATAGCACGGTAAGGGTTAACAAACACAAGTTAACTAGGAAAAAGTCATTTCGGAAGCTACCTGGATTTGGTCTGCTATGGAGAAGCGGAAGATTTAGAGTCCGGATCAGGTGGAGAGGACTTCGAATTATGATATGTGGTAAAATATTCTAATGTTGACTAGAATTGTTTACTAATCTGTGATGTTTAAATTATAAGGAATTTTTGCTCTAGATGTCTTCAGTACAACACCCGTCTCGGCAAATCTCCTTATTATATTGACTAATCTTGAGATCTGTCCATAGGCCCCAGCTCCGGCTAGTGAATTCGACGGTGATGACTGATCATTTCTGCCGTCAAGGTATTTCAATAGAAAGCTAGAATGGGGTCCATTTGGCCCTATTTTGATATTACAGCTGCGTTTTGACCCTAGCTGATCAAACTGATCCTAATCGATCCTGATTTCGTGGTGCTAAAATATTTTCTAGCGGTGCCGCTTGATGCCCCGACAACACACTACCCAGTGTTTGGCTTTGATACCATTTGTAACAGTCCAGTCCTCGCTGGCACACCACCTGTGTCTGGCTCTGATATCATTTGTAACAGTCCAGTTCTCGCTGGCACGCTGACACATCACCTGTGTCTGGCTCTGATATCATTTGTAACAGTCCAGTTCTCGCTGGCACGCTGGCACACCACCTGTGTCTGGCTCTATCATTTGTAACAGTCTAGTTCTTGCTGGCACACCACCTGTGTCTGGCTCTGATATCAATTGTAACAGTCCAGTTCTCGCTGGCACACCACTTGTGTCTGGCTTTGATATCATTTGTAACAGTCCAGTTCTCACTGGCACACCACCTGTGTCTGGCTCTGTTATCATTTGTAACAGTCCAGTTCTCACTGGCACACCACCTGTGTCTGGCTCTGTTATCATTTGTAACAGTTCTCACTGGCACACCACCTGTGTCTGGCTCTGATATCATTTGTAACAGTCTAGTCTTTGTTGGCACATCATCTAGTCCTCCTGGTGGGCCCTCACTGGCACACCACCCAGTGTCTACAGATAATATTTGCTTTGGTCTGTTATATATCGTACCTCATGATTTTTAAAATGCGTCTTTTAGAGAGTTGATTTTTAAAATGCGTCTTTTAGAGAGTGCCACCCAGTGTCTACAGATAATATTTGCTTTGGTCTGTTATATATCGTACCTCATGATTTTTAAAATGCGTCTTTTAGAGAGATTTTCACACTTTGATTGATTTCCCACTTTGATTGATTTCCCTCTTTAATCAACGTGCGACCTCGTAACATGTGAGGCATCTTAGGACGAGTGAATGATAGTGTGACAAAGAGCATCCCTTCTGAGGCATCTTCGAACCTTGATGCTGCTCCAAATGGGCGATTTTGTTGAAAGCATCCCTTTTTTGAAATGCGTTGTGGCAGGAAGTTGTTACTCTTGTTTTAAAACTTCCCGACACACTCCAATCCAATTTTGGCTATGTCATCGTCTGTTAACAGACCCTGCCACCAGATATATTTGTTAAATTTAAGATTTCTCTTCGGTATTTTTAAATACACGGCTAGAGAGAGCTTTCTCTTCTATATTCTTAAAGCTCTCTTCCGTACTTTTAAATGTACTTTCCAATCGATATAGAATCTCACAATTATTTACTAGCAATAAATTTGAAATGTTGCATCCAATCCTATCATAATAAGGGAACATGCGTAAGGAAGCAGAAGCTAAAAAGACTATTTTCATAACTTGAGTAACAAGACAGTAATTGTAGTCGTTGTATGTCCAAGGGGCCAAAAGAACAAGACAGACACGATGGCCAGCAGAAAGGCGCAGTAAGAAATAGGACTGAGTGGACCCAAAAAATTTACAGCCCATATTTTTCAAAAAAAGAAAAAGAAAAAAAGAATAGGAAGAAGAGCTTTTCTTCACCATAAGGCTCCTCGGGAGTTAAGAAGCTTTGTTGCATGCAAAGTTACCAAATTGAAGGGGCGTGCTGGCTGGGTTACAAAATTCGTCTCCAAAACTAACAGTTTGTGGGATCACTATTATTATTATTTTATTATTTTACTATTATTATTCAAGTAATGGAATGGCCATTCTTCTGCTGCTGCCACGAAGCTGCTGCAAGATATTGTGGCCCATGTACTTCATCTTCCCTCGATCGTTTACTTGGAAATGATCTGAACAAATTGTAAAATAATATGGTAAGAATATATATATATATAGGAACCACCCCAAATTACAAGAGGGTTTGTAGTGGGATCTTATAATCCGACCCATCATCCTCAATGACACACCGTCCGTGTTTGGCTCCTAATACCATTTGTAACAGTCCAAATCCAACGCAGTAGATATTATTCTTTTCTTACTTTTCCTTCCAGGCTTGCTATGGGAAAGTTTCTATACCCTAATAAAGAATGCTTTGTTACTCTCCCCAAACGATGTGGGATCTCATAAAATCCTTTTATAATATTCGGGTTTAGTTTTTCAAAATCGTGCTCCTTTACAAACACATTTATTTTTGTTTACTAATCCCAGTAAACTGTTTTTGAAATCATAGCAGCTAAAATTTAAATCAGTAGTTCTAACAAAGAGGAAAACTAAAAAAAATGAAAACCATAGCAATCTAAAAGCAAATGGCTACGAGAATAGAAGTCGCCTAAAATACTAATGGGTGTAACAAAAGAAGGCAGAAGGGAAATGTTAATATGTTACAAATGAAATAAAGACAAGGTTTGCTGCATTACCTTGGGGAACTCAGCCGCTTCTGAACATGCTGCTGCTGCTGCTGATTTGCCGAATCAGAATTGGCACTCCCAGGTTCATCAGAAGCCTGAAAGCGTTTGTCAGTAATCACACAAAATTAAAGAGCCATTTTGCGGAGAAGAAGAACTGAAATGACCCATTAAGTTAAAAAGAAAAAAACTTGTATTCTCATCAATTTTTATTCAGAATGGTCCTCAAGCTAACAATGGATAGAAATAAAAGTTGAAGTGCAGCTACAAAATCAAATCAACTACATGGGAGGTACTTGGATAAGGGGTAGAAACTGGGGATTGACCACCGAGCTCATACCTTTTAATCATTTTCCAGAGGCTTGCATAAGAGGAAGCAGCATTGGGAAAACATGAAGCAGCTCAATTTGCCTTCAGTGTTTCGGTGTCATTGTTCCATCTCGATGCAATGAGATGAAGTAGAAAGGGGGAGGAGGTTGGGGCAGTAACCCCCCATCTGGAAATTACTTTCCTACATACCCTTTATCCAAGCATCACCTATGTTTTTGAAGCAGAAAAATCAAATCATCTATCCAATGGATTACTAGTAATTCGCACCTCGGAGTTGTTCTCTTTATGCGAAACATCTTCCTTCGGCAATTCGTTAACTGCAGGAGCAACAGTGTCCCATAAAAATCCATTTTCGGCTCCAATAGAAAGCTTATCGAGATCTGTATCCACGGGTCCCAAAAGAGGCTTCATATGTGCAGCATACTTATCTGCATTCAGTAAAAACCATGGAGCAATATTTGTTCATAAAAAACAGACATCTCAAGTGTTCCCGGGGAAAAAGAATTTAAAGGATGGGAGTTTTACCTGCCAAATTGTGAAGCGCATTCTCAGCAGCTTGTTGTTGAGCATCTTTCCTTGTCTTACCCAATCCAACACCAATCTTCTCGCCAGTAAACAAAACCTGAACCAAACATTCAGAAAATGAAATCTGCCACATTCTGATATGATTAGGATGGTCAACCACGCTTATTTAATTCCAAAAATGAGAGGAAAAAAAAGGATATCTTTCAGTTTTTATCTACTTCCTACCAAGGCCAATGAATCATTGAAATGAAAAAATGTGAGGAATCAATCCTACTCCACAAGCTCTTGGAGAAAAAGAAAAAAAAAATCTTTTTTTTTCCTTCTGATACAGAAAATATGTACTGTTTTTCTTTAACACAAGGCTGCAAAAACCAAGTTTAATTATTCAAAATACACTCCACTTGAAAATTTTCTCTAAAGACCGTATATTTCACTGACCTCAACTGAAAATTGCAAATCCTTGCTGGTACTGACAACAGTTTTGAACTCAACCTGTACAGTGAGGCAAAGTGAGAATCGAGAAACATGAGGTGAGAAGCAAAACCGTAAAAAAAACCAGCACCCTGTACCTTTGAGCTGCATCTACGACCAATATCTTGTAGAACTCCAATGTATAAAGAAGGGGGCGGAGGTATGGTAACTTTCCCTGCTTCAGTTTGATATTCTTTGTTATTGCTAGTAGCTCGATTTTGAGATATAGCAACTCCTGCTAAAACTTCAGTCAGGTAAGACCACGAAAATAAATAAATAAGAGGGAGAAAACTGTTACATTCTTCACCATAGGCACGTAAAATGTGAACTGGTAGTAGAAAAACCTTGTGAATTGTTGCTAGACCGTGGTTTATCAGCTTTTGAAGCATCAGATTCTTGAACGAGTCCTGAAGATCGACTATTTTGAGGTCCTTTACTGGAGTCGTCATCCACTAATGAACTTCCTTGAACCTGTAATCCGCATGCTGGTAATTGTACGGGCATTCTGGAGAGAATTGGGGGATCACCGAAGTTTGGTATCCTGAGATCTATACCAGGTTTCATTGCAAGGAGTCCTCTCTTCATGTCATGATCAGCAGAGAGATCTCGTCTGATAGGGGCCCCGAGCAAACCAGGCTCTAAAAACAATATGAAGGAACAAATGAATTATATTACCCTCTGGAAAGACCCAAGTCATGTTAAACCACCAAAGAATTCATTATACAACTAAAATTAAAAAAGTAAATTATGGGAAAGTAACAGAATGACAAAATGGAAGTTGGTTTCTCATTTTAAAAGAAAAGGTAGGCAAAGTAAGAATATAGAAGGCCATACTTTGAGAAGGCAGTAAGGTTCTTGAAGATTTTGGTCCAATGACATTCGTATTAAGAGGAGGTGGCAACTGAGAAGTATCTGCTCGAACATCCGTTTGGCTTGTAGTAGGGTTATTGGCCATGTCTATTACATGCTTATCATCCTGAATGTTAAGAGTTATATAAAAAGATCTTCATTACTCATTACACCAATAAAATGGAACATTTGGTCGAACAGCATGAATGGAAAACTCACCGGTTGATTCAGTCTCCTTTCCACTTCGACACCATTTATTCCTTCACAAATTGGAGCATTCACATTCTCATTGGATACAAAGCCAGCTTCCTATCAATAATAAATCAGTGAAACAATTAATAAAAATCCACCAATCCTTTAATGGCAAGGGAGGACATTCTTCATCACAAATACCTCTGACATCAAGTAGCTGCTCACATCAGGAGCAGGAGGTAGATCAGCCACTTCATCTTCATAAGAAATTTCGAGAATCCGTCGCAACAAACTCTCATCAAATTCTCTGTATAAAGATAATTAGATCTGATTAGCCTTCGAAAAACGATAAAGACAAGTGTTCATGTGGAGGTAGGTTGTTCCAGCTATTTACACTTACTT